TTTAAATGATTTTATTGAATTTTTACTATTCAATCACTTCACCAATTCTAAGTACTCACATGAACTGTTTATAACATTAGGTATCGATTCAACCAACCGATTCAGTCTGATTTTCAAAACAATAGGTAGATCTTGAAAGTGACTAGAGCCTTTGTTTTGTTGTGAATGAAAAAGTATGGTATGAGAAAGTTTAGTGTTATTTAAGGTAAAACCCTATCTTAAGCCCATGAACTAAGTTAGTTTTTGCATAAAAGCTCTTAAACTATTTTTGTGGTAAATAAGCCCCTTAGTCCCTATTGTCTGGCATCATCATCATGCTTGCGTGGCGCCTACTTTTCAGATCAACATTGATGTGAGCATAAAATGAGCCGAGCAGAAAACAAAATTTTCAACTTTTTGATATGCATATTTGTCATCTATGTCAAGGTTAATGTCAAAAATAAATATTATGTAGATGGTAAGTGATAAATATTAAATTAATAGGGAACCACTAAAGGAGCTTCATTAACTATTTACCTAATTAAGTTTGACTTTTTTACTCATACCAAAGAGTTGAGGAGCTGAAAATAATTTAGGGGCATAGGGTTTTATAGCATTTTCTTAATTGTGTTTTTGTTATTTAGGTTTTTTCTTTTTGTGTAGTTCTTTTGAAGAAGGCTATGTGAATAGATGATTCCTTTCCTTCTGACTCTTTTAGTGCAGATGATATGCCTTTCCCGTATCAGTACTAGACCAAACATCTATAATTTTCCCTTTTTATTTAGATCTTATTTTAATATATACTAACTACTATTACATGATTATTTCTTGCAACATTTTCTATAAAAAAGACCAACAAAGAGAGAGAGAAAAGTTTATTGGAATGACATGAAACATATGAATAGCAGGTGGAAATTTATGATCAAATCTAAATCAAAGCCAAAGTTCTTCAAAAGGGTACTTTTCTCATGAAGTCAAAAATGTGAATGTAGAGGGTTTGTATTCACAATAGAAAAAAAAAAAAAAAAGAGGATTTTTCTCATTAGGAGAGGAAAGAGATTGAAGAAAAGGAAAATAAGAAGTTTATTTATTTTTTTTACAAGGTTGGTGTTTTACTGACTATCTTGTATAGATTGTAAACACCTCAATCTCAGAATCAGTGGAATCTCTAATTAGCTTCACAAAGACCTCACTGATTATGAGATTGATGTTCTGCACAGACTGTAAAACACTTTATTGTCTTTTTAATGACACTAAACAAAAGGGGAAAAAAATTGGATTTCTTAAGACTACCAGAAATGAATAATTTGAGCATTAAAGTATGGAAAAGTGAGTGCACAATGATGCTTCCATTTGGGGAATGACAGAAGCAACACAAGGAATAGGTCAGGCCAGTATGGATCCTGACTCATACTTCAGGATACATCTATAACGCTCGAACCATTAAGTTTTATATTACTCATGAAAATCACAAGGATTCCCCACAGGTAAAGTCATGCCAGAAATGGGAATTTTGTTGTGAGAATAAGGGGAGAGCCAATCAATTATGCATCAGTTTTGTGACTTATGTCTTGTTCAATGCTGCAGCTGCCATTTGCTGATGTTCTTTCTTTAGAGCCTTGAATTTAGCTACAAGTTCATCATAGTCAGGGAGCTTTGGATGGACATGCCTAGGAGATGAGGACTTGCTGCTTGTTATTATTTCTTTCAACCTTACCGGAGTCACTGTCATGCTCCTTGAACAAGATCCTTGCGGAAATCCATGTCTGTTTCGCTCTTGGAGAGTGGTTGAGTTGAATAAAAACATTGTTATCTCCCCAGCATAATGTTCCTCTAGGACATCAAAGTGAATTTCCTCCACCTCCTCAAGGTACAAAAACTCATTAGAGGGGGTAATTGTTGTTTCCATTTCCATTTTCTCTTCCAAAGAGACCCTTGAAATGTGATTGGAGCCACAACTTTCTGAGTTACTCTGACCAGATAATGTGATCTCAATCATTTTAGGTTCATACACATATTTAACAACAGAATTCTCAACTTGATCAGCATAACCTGACAAATTTTCGGGTTTCTCCTCATCACAAGAAGAAGCAGCCAGAACCTGCTTATCCTGGATCTCATAATCTTTAACCAATTCATCAACCAAACTTTGCTTCACATTATCCGGAATGGACTTTAGACAAAGTCTCTCCCTCAGCTAAAACATAATGCAATGATCACTACATAAATAGTTATGCCCACAATAAGAACAAAAAGGGGAAACATAAAGTTATCAAAGGCTGTTGAATATTGCTAACCTGGGTATTCACATGGTGTCCAGGATGTAGCTCAATAGCTGCATTTGTAAATTTCTGCCCATATCGCTCCCTAAATAACCTCTGAAACTTTTGTAGCTCAGGTAGATCTCCACACCAAGCAGCAGCAAAGATTAAAGTTGAAACAGCTTCTTTGATGTCATTAGGACAATGCCTGGAAGAGAACGGTAAAAGTGGATATTCTCAAACTAGAATTCCACAGAAAACAAAATGCAAGAAACTATAACTCGATAGTTTAAGCTTTTAGGTGGAACACTCGAACAGTTCTTGACATGTAAATGTTAAGGTTTTGGTGGAAATTTTAAGACACAAAGCGAAATTTAGTATACCTTTGTCGACGAATGTAAGGAAGGTGAATGATGATGGATTCACAGAAGTGGTCTAACAAATCATATGCAGCTAACAAATTCTGGTCCCTGAAGAGCTCTTCAGCCTAAAAAATAAATACCCTGAAATTGATTGACTCCAAAACTACTACAACTCCATCACCAATTTATTGACAAATGATGAAATAACAGAAATCCATACCCGGGAAAAGGCAGTCTCATGTAGGCCATTGCTAAGGAGCTGAGCAATGTCCTGACGTGACTGCTTCACCATTGAGTATCT